TTATGAAGTTACATAGCACAGTAATGATATTAATGATATAAATGATAATGATGAAGATGAGAGAGATGTGATGATGATGATGATGATGATGATAATGATGATGAGATGATGAATGATGATGATGATGATAATAATAATAATAATAGTAATAATGATGATAATAATGATGATAATAATAAATACATGATCAATTGATAGTAATAATCAATATTGTGATGATTAGGATAATAAGGATATAATACTGATAATAAATCCATTATTGATAATGATTAAGCAATAATGACAATGACAAAAGATAATTGTTGCTACCATAGAAGATAACCAAGAAAATATTACTATAACTACTACTGCTACAGCGACTGGTGCTAAGAAAAACAATAAACAAACACAGTAATGACAACAATGACAATAATCATAATCATCAGATCTGATAGTTTTTGACAAGCGACTTCCATTCTCTTCCTCTGGATTAATCCCAAACCGCTAAGATTACATGCTTATTACTGGTAACGAAAAGGTAACATTTTGATAGCAATGATAATGATTATAGTGGTGCAAGTTCAAATGATGGTAATCACAATGATAAGGGTGACTGAGTACTTGCTGCTGTGTTGCGGCGCCAATGGTGGGCCAAACACAACAGGTCATATTCGTAAACGTTTGCGATTCTGAATGAATGGTGAACGTTGAAACACGTCCTTTACTTGTCCGCAATTTCACGATATATATACTCGTGTTCTCTAAGAGATTCTTCAGTTGTTCTCTTGGCACTGCGTGGCTGAACTTAACTAGAATTTTGCAACTGAATTTTTTACAAACAGTCGACGAAACCTCAGGCGCTTGATCATGGCTTTACTACGAGTCGACAGGCGCTTCCTGCTTCGGCGGCGTCGAACAAGAGGGAATGAGGATCTTGAGACATACGTGGACTCTGTCCTCCCGGGACATTCAGACCAAGTTTCGGGGAAGACCTGGACGCGCAGGCGGTCTTTGGACCTGGACTTGGGAGCTGCAAGTCTATGGCCTGACGACTCCCGCGACGAGCTGGATGCTTGCTTGGACTTCAGCGGAAAGAAGGCATCAGGTTTCACATCTGCCATGTCCTACCATGGTCGTGATTATTCGGTAAGTTTGGTTTGCTTGTTTGATCTTTTAAAAATAAAGTACTGCAGGAAGATGACTTGTCAGATTCATCGATGAAAATCGCTCCTACATGTTGTCTTTTCTTTTCAGAGTGTGTGTGATGTTTTGGGAGAAGAAACAAATGGCCTTGACCTGTCCGACGGCCCTCTGTTGCTGGATTCCGACCAACTCCTTCAGGACTCGGGACACTCCTTTGGCGCCGCCTCGTCCCCCTCCAGCAGAAAGGGATACCGGCACAGACACACGAGACAATACCTTCAGGACGAGCGCCTTCAGAAGGAACGGAACCGCGAACTCAACAACGAGGCGTCCGTGCTGTACCGAGAGAGGAAGCGGACGGCGACCTCCAAGAAGGAGAAGCAGCTGCAACACTTGCAACAGGAGAACGATCAGCTTTGCTAGAAACTGGAACTGTTGACGGTGCAGAGTGACTGGTGCCACGACATTTATGAGAAATACAGTGACTACTTTGCAGGACCTCTGGGCGATGCTTTGGATGAGCTGAGATGAATTGAAGTAGTAGTACTTTTAGTTGGTATTTATTTCGTAAATGTTAGAAGAGGAAATCATTATCATATTGTTATGTATTTCATCATCATCATTAATATTGTCATTTTCATTACTGTTAAAAATATAAAGCGTATTTATATGAACCCTCAGTTCAGTATCCTTTTATACAAAACTATGATGAAGGACCTACATACTAATCAGTACAGAAGGTGTCTTTTTTCCCCTAATACATGTATAGATATATCTATTTTTGGTGCATGTAAGATCAAAGTAATCAAAGAGAAGAGAAGCATTATTGTCAACGTAGCACTTTGATCAAAATATCAACGCGTTTCTACTTAGCGCTTGTGGGGAAAATGTGATTTTTTACACGTCAGACTTTTAGAACCGGAATGAATGGTTCTATAAAATGTCTTAGTGATTCATGCGATTCATTCTAGCAAATTGAAACAAAATTTTTTATCAAAGGATAGCTGAAATATTGACAGAGCGGTAAACCATGCACATTCTCCACTCACATATACACAAGTGTCTGTGCCTGTATGTACAGACACATACACACATGCACACAGCCACAAACACGCGCGTTCATTTAAGAGTATATATTTCCGTATGCACGAGCAATTGTGTATATATATACACACCTGTTAACGCATCCATACTTAACACATCTTTAAATACATCTGCATATATGACTGCGTATGCGTGTCAATACGCATCCATCCATCCATCAATCCATCCGCCCGTCCCTCCATCCATCCAACCATCCATTCGTCCATCGATCCATCCAACCATTCATCCATCCTTCCGCACATCCATCCATTCATCCACATATCTATCCATTCATCCATCCAACCATCGAACTATCCATCCATCCGTATATCTATCCATCCTTCCGTACATCCATCCATCCATCGAACTCTCCATCCATCCATATATCTATCCAACTCTCCATCCATCCATCCATCCATTCATCCATCCACCCATCCATTCATCCAACCATCGATCCAACAACCATCCACCCGTCCTGTACAAGTTGTTCAATCAGTTACGTCATATGTTAAGATGAGAGTGTATGTGGTTCTGGAGCAGAAAATCTACATCCACAAGCATTTTGCGGATGGCTTTGGGCGTGAGGTGGAGCTTGAAGTACGCCCAGCAAGGAATTTTACAGATGACGGGATTGGGGGGAGGGGGAGAAGGGGGAGGTGTGGAGGGGAGGGGAGGGAGGAAGGTCAGGCGTGTGGCAAAAATATTATCATTATTATTACTATCATCATTATCAGTATTATCAGCTGCCTCATTGTCATTACTATTATCATTAGTTGGTATTAATGTTATTATTATTACTGTTATGATTATGATCACTACCATTGCCGTCTTAGTTATTATTATCATCTTTAGTATTATCTTTGTTATGATGATGACGATGATAATAACAATAATCATAATCATAATGACAACGGTAATGATGACGATTGATATCATTATTATCATTATCATCATCATTATTATCATCATAATCATCTCAGTTATCATTATTTTTGAATATCATTATTATTGAACATTATTCTTATCAATGTTATTGTTGTTAGCATCATCCTTATTATTGTTGTTAATATCATCATTATTATCATTATATTTATTATTATTTATATCATTATTGTGATGATGATAATTATCATTATTACTATTATTACTATCATTATTATCATCCTTACTATGATCCTTATTAGCATTGCCATTAACTTTATCAACATCATCATCATTACCAATACAAATTATGGGCCATTACAGTATCTTCTGACGGGGAATCCGGGGTATGAGAGGACAGTGTGTCTGTGACTATCACTAAAAATAAATGCAACCTTTATGTTACATCACAGTCCCCCCTCCCCCCCCCCCTTCCACTGAGCAGCTGTTAAAATCCACCTCAGACTCAAAAATGATAGAAAATGTGTACAAAAATTGTACGTGTATGATAGGCTACAGCTACATTAGTCTTTATTAATATATATTTATCTGTCTATGGGAGTACGTGTGTGCATTTGTTTGTTT